GTGGGCGACGAGAGCTTCCCAGCGCACCGCGCCGTGCTGGCTGCTTGCAGCGAGTACTTTGAGTCGGTGTTCAGCGCCCAGTTGGGCGACGGCGGAGCTGCAGACGGGGGTCCCGCTGACGTGGGGGGCGCAGCGGCGGCTCCAGGCGGCGGGGCTGGGGGCAGCCGGGAGCTGGAGATGCACACCATCAGCTCCAAGGTGTTTGGGGACATCCTGGACTTCGCCTACACTTCCCGCATCGTGGTTCGCCTGGAGAGCTTCCCCGAGCTCATGACGGCTGCCAAGTTCCTACTGATGAGGTCGGTCATTGAGATCTGCCAGGAAGTCATCAAACAGTCTAATGTGCAGATCCTGGTGCCCCCTGCCCGGGCAGACATCATGCTCTTTCGGCCCCCTGGGACCTCGGACTTGGGCTTCCCTTTGGACATGACCAATGGGGCAGCCTTGGCAGCCAACAGCAATGGCATCGCAGGTAGCATGCAGCCCGAGGAGGAGGCAGCCCGGGCTGCTGGTGCAGCCATTGCCAGCCAAGCCTCTCTGCCTGTGTTACCTGGGGTGGACCGCTTGCCCATGGTGGCTGGACCCCTGTCCCCCCAACTGCTGACTTCCCCATTCCCCAATGTGGCATCCAGTGCCCCTCCCCTGACTGGCAAGCGAGGCCGGGGCCGCCCAAGGAAGGCCAACTTGCTGGACTCAATGTTTGGGTCCCCAGGGGGCCTGAGGGAGGCAGGCATCCTTCCATGTGGCCTGTGTGGGAAGGTGTTCACTGATGCCAACCGGCTCCGGCAGCATGAGGCCCAGCATGGTGTCACCAGCCTCCAGCTGGGCTATATCGACCTTCCTCCTCCGAGGCTGGGTGAGAATGGGCTACCCATCTCTGAGGACCCCGATGGCCCCCGAAAGAGGAGCCGGACCAGGAAGCAGGTGGCATGTGAGATCTGCGGCAAGATCTTCCGAGACGTGTACCATCTCAATCGGCACAAGCTTTCTCACTCGGGGGAGAAGCCCTATTCCTGTCCAGTGTGTGGGCTGCGGTTCAAGAGAAAAGATCGTATGTCCTACCACGTGCGGTCCCACGATGGGTCGGTGGGCAAGCCCTACATCTGCCAGAGCTGTGGGAAAGGCTTCTCCAGGTGAGGAATAGCGTCCCTCCTCATGACCTGCCCTGTTTCTGGCTCATGGGACAGTTTCTTGCTAAGATCAGGGGGTGTGGGATTGGTGGGAGTCACTTGACCCTCTAGGGCCACATCAGGTTTGGAGACAGCAGAGAGTATTTTAATGGCCCTAGTTTTGTGGTCGGGAGCTGCTTTCTCTTCCCTCAGGGAAGTTCTCTGGCACTAGGCATGCCCTACTGTCTGTCTTCTTTTGGGCCTTGTGGGAAGGGGCTGGATTCCTCTGGCCACAGCCACTGGGCCTCACCATTCTTCTCCCCGGGCTCCCTTTGTGTTTCCGGCACCAGGCGTGGGGCCCCCTCTGGGGGCGGGAGGCTTTTCCTCCACCGACTTTCCCTGCTTGAATGGCTGCCCAGGGAGGGGCTGAAACAAGTGCATCTGGGACTCTTATGCTCCCTGCCACCAAATCCCTCCCCCAACAGAGCACTGGCGATCCTGGATGGGCACACTCAAGCTTTGCCCTTCTCAGCCTCCTGGGATCATGGGGCACAGAGTTCTGCACCCAGAGTCTCCTAGCACCAAAATCTTTGATCCCCTCTGATCTGGTAGCTCCAGAGCCTAACTGAACCCACAGATCATCTTTATGTTTTCAGGACAGAGAGGAGGGGGTCAAGATGTCCTTTTAGATTCACTTTTTAGTGAGCCTGATAGGAAACTAAGGACTTGTCTGGGAGCAGAGGGCTATTTTGTTTTTCATCTTAAGAGAATATTCAGAATAAAAGGCCGGTTTTAACTTGCCTGGATACTTAGGACTTGTGTCTGTGTGAACCTACAGAAGGAGAACTCCCTTGGAGGGGCCCCAACCAGAAACCAGTCTTACCGGTCAGGCAGCCCCTGCCCACCTGCTCCAGCGGGCATCTGGTTTACCAGCCCAGCTGGGGACTTAAGGCTCTATCCCTTGGCCTCTGGGGACTGAATTCCATCCGGGTGGCATTCATTGGCTGTCCTGGTGGGAGAGGCTGGGGGAGGGGAATACTGAGTTTCTAAGGGGCTTTAGTCTGGACAATGAATCTCACATACCCCCTCCCAGAAAGGCCTCAGTAAGGCAGCCTTGTCCCATTCTAAAGCCACCTCCTCGGGTCTTCGAAATCATTTGAGCTTCTGGTGGTGGGGGGGTGTGGGGGGGTAGGCAAGGTCAGAGACACTCACTTCCCTTCCCCCTTTAGAGAAAACCGGGGCAGAGAGGCCCTGGGCCTGTGGAGCTGGGTGGTGACTTTGTCTTTGTCACGCTAGGATGGGGAAGAGAGAGTCCTCTCCAACGGG